CAGATTTATTGTTATAAAGACCCAAATGTAAAAAAAAAAAAAGTGAAACATACTTTTTACTGGGTGGAATTCTGATATGTGGTAGTGAACATATACTCAGGTTATATCAGTCCCCTGAATTAATTTTATTTCAACATTTAAAAAAATTACTACATTCATTAACATTCAATTGATTAATCCCTTGTGTTTATTTCAAATAAATACAACATGTTCACTGGATGGTGTTCTCATTCTCACCTTCAATCCCCCGAAAAGGATCCCTCTTTAGTAAACCACAAATCTAGTTTACCTGTTAAAAATACATTATAATAGGAGATCAACCTTCATGGAGGGCAAAAACTTTACAATTCATCAAAGTAATATGGCAAATTATACTGGTGAGAAAACAGCTTCATTTGTATGCTTCACACCTTCTGCAGTATATTTTGCTGAAATAAATATCTGCTGTGATGATCTGATTGCCTATTAAGAACACATAGCCTTCACCAAGGTGGAACGTTTCTGGATGACTTGGATGCACATGGAGGTGCGTCCATGTCAGTGTGGATGTGCATTTGCATAATTTTGTTCATTGCTGGGAAGTGAGGATGTTGTACCATGCAGACTTTAAGGTTTAATGCTACAAGAGGAATGTAGTTTCTCTTGTAGTAAAGAAATACAAATATTGGGGAAAATATTGTGGATTTTAAAAGTCTAAAAACCTCTCTTCAGTTCCCAGAATGTTGTGGGATGAGAAATGAGACCACCATTTCTCCACCTTTTTTATTATGTATTTCTAGAACAGTCAACTGTAATTTGGTGAAACTGAATAGCTGCAGACTTGTAGTTGTTTTGCAAATGAAAGCTGATATAAAGAAAGGTGGAGTCATCAACTTAAACAAGAGTAACTAAAGCTTAAAGCTCAGTTGATAAAGAAAAGCTACTTTTTTTATTTTCCCTGAAAAGAAAATGGAACAGCTGAAACCTGTTGTTTTTATATCTACCCAATTGTTTCACACTATTAATTGGTAATCAGCCTTTAAAAGACATGGTGGGAAAATAAAAGAGAGACGAGAAACTTGCACAAACATACAACAAATTTCTGGAGCACAACTTTCATCATAAAATTCCTGTGCGCAAAGCGATTCAAGCTGCAAAAAATTGCACAGAAATGTCAAGGCCTCAGTAAAGTGCACAACAACTTGGTGATTAATGTAATAAATAATGCTAAGCAAATTTAATTAATATGCTTAATAATACTTTGTCCTCTCCAGGTCTCTTCAAAGAAACCTTTGAACAAAATGGGCTATACCAATCTTATAAGCAAACCTTCATCACAACAAAGTTCCTTTTGTCAAGATGAACCAACTGGAGGATGTTTTGTTCATATTTTAAAAGCAGGTGTAAAAAAAAGCGGAGAGATGATTCACAATTGACAAAATGAGAAGAAAACAGTGAACACAAAAGGTTTTATGAATGACAAGCCTCTGGACTCAGCTCCTTTTTTTCCCTGTCAAGGGGGAAAGCTTTATAGATACCTGCTGTCGCTTTTCGCATCAGATGGGAAGACATTTGTTATCTCGACAGTATTTGAAAGTGTTACTTGTGTATTAACTTGACAGTATGTCCATGACTCTGCTTGCCATTCTAACATTTCACATGCATCTGTCTAAATGTTGCATATCAGGAGTGGCTGCACCTGCAAAATCTGTCTGTAAGAATTCCTTGTGACCAAGTCTTTTTTTACACACATTTAATACACCAATCCACTAATACAACTAAAGAACATAAAAACAAGGCTTCATCACTGAAATTGTTTTTTGTTTTTTCATCTTTCAGTATCGTACATTACGTTTTTCTGTCCTTGAGCTCTGTCAGGTGGCGAGTTCTTAGCTGTCTTAGCATCTTTTCTCCATTCAACTTTTTGAGCCATTATAGCACCATCAGCTCCATCATCATTACATGATGCAAAATATATTCATCTTTGCTTTTCTGAGAGATATCCATTGGAAATTTGACCATTATTTGCATTTCACTAAATTATTAGCTTAATTTCCCTGCCAGTTAGTGCTTATCGGCATACGACAAATACGAGTGAGTAACTTTAACTCGCACAACTGGGTTGAACTGCAATTGTTGCTTGATTACAAAAAATGTAACTGCAGAAATATTTACTGAGATTGAAGTATTTTTTAAAAACAGTCCAGTTCTAGTACTGGTAAATCAGTACTGGATTTACCAGTACTATACCAATATAGTCAGTTGTGCCAGATGTTCACTTTGACAAAGAGATGTTTAATTGCAATTCAATTTAAACATAAAATCAATACTTCACATTTTCAAAGGGTTTCTTTGGTGTGCAGCATGTTTGAGACTACAACATCGAATTGAGAGAATGTCTGTTTCCTGTTGGATGAATTCAACATAAAGAAAGGACGTTTTGGTCAAAAACTTTTAAGCGTGAATATGTATCAGCAGGTTTCCTTCACTGGTGTTGAAGAGTGGACGTGTGGTAACACAAATTACTTTGGCCAGGCCATCTGGTGTACAGAAATCTGGTGTATTAATTTCATATAATGTTAACGCCACTTCACTTTCTTTTTAAAAAAATAATTATAAATCATTTTCACCCACATTAAACTAAGACACCTGGCCTCAATGTTTTTCCAAAGATGTACTCTAAAGTTTCAGTTGTCTTGAAATTATTTTAGGGAAAGTAAATCTTTCAGCATGACTCATCGTAATACATAAAACTTTCTGAAGCAATGACCCTCTCAGAGGGGAAAACATGTCCCTTTGAAACGTGTCGCTCATGAGAAGTATTTGCCAACATTCTTGACCTTGTCATTTCATGGAACATGCCATGTGTGCTTCAGGTCACTTGTGAGCTTTACCTCTTGAATACCTGAACATGTACCTGCCATCCTGTCAACTCTCACATGTCCAGTGAGCTCTGCAGAGAAGACAATAGCACACTCTTTTGCACACTCATTGTCACAACATCAAGGTAGAAGAATAATTATATTACTTCACATAGTAAGTGACATAAATGCAGATACTTTGGTAGAACATAATAGAATAGAATCACTTTAAATAACTATTTATCTTGAGATGCACAACCCCATTTTCAGTAGGAGATGTTCAAACAAATGAAATATTGAGTGCTAAAATGCCTAATAAATTGAAACTGTATTCAGGTATTCAATGGGAGGCAGTTCTTTGTGCTCTAGTTACTTAAGGCCTTCATCAGATCCCTCGACATGGTCACTGTGGCCACCCTGTCAGGTAATCTGTGTAATGGAGCTGAATTCACAAACTTACAAATCTGCCTTTGATTGGATTTGATGGATCATGAAGGATCACATCATCCATTCCTGACTTATTTACTATGTATTGCAGAGGATCAACCACATGCTTCACCTGTGGAGAATGCAGAATGCAGAGAATCGGCTGCTCCAGTGTCTTCATGATGTGTGATGGAAGAGCCACCGATCTGTAGTCGTTGATCTTAGCTGGGCGTCCAACAAAGAGTGACAGCACCAAGCATGATGTTTTACACAAAACAGTGACATTGTCTGTTTGTAAATTAACCAGATGACAACTATTCATAGAAAAAGTCAAACTACCCTTCTGTCAAAAGTATATGGCAAACTGTTGTCACTTCTAAGTTTAAAAAATGACAGTTAATCCATTTGTCATCATTTAAAATACATCTTGATTGAGATGCTCATTTTCTTCTATTCTGTGATGAGCTGAAAGCCGATGTTCCTTAAGACTGACTAAACATTTTTCCTAAAATCTACATAAAGCAAGAGGCTACTGTGCTATGTGACGTGACTGTTCTGTTACCTGAAGAGAGATTGTCAGTCTGACCTTAAATCTAAATATGTTTAGATTGGTATTTAGATTATTGTGACACAACTGATTTTGAGGGAGATATTTTTTATTAGAAAAATAGCGAGATACTGACAATACATTGAAACATACAATCGAATTTACAGAATAAAGGGAAACAGCAGGCAAATATGTGCATTTTTTTCACATTATAAGTACCAGTCATAAAATCCAAATAACATCACAAAATCAAGTGTTTTGCCCTGATTTAACTAAAAACTGACATTAATACACAACATAATGAGCTAACAACACTAATGATAATCTAATAATCAATAAGTATTCAAGTACCATGCAAAAATATTTGAGTATATAAATACAAAAAAGGAAACAGCTAATATTATATTATACTGGCACAGAAGTTGATGAAAGGATTTCAGCAGATCCAAAAATTTTCTCATTTGTAGGGTAGACATTATAGTACTTGTTTACATTACTGTCATCCAGATGACCTTTGATGTAAACACGAGTCCTGCTCAATTATAAACGACAACATTGTAAGCATATTAAAGTCTTTGAATAAATTAAATGTCAATCTAGACATAGTTAAAAAAACGAAAAGCATAGCTTTTAATCACTCTAAGAATCATTTCCATTTTGTCAACTTTATTTCTTGCCATAGAAAACAAGACCAGCCATTCTAAACAAAAAGACAAATCAGCAAGCACATCCACATCAGCTGTGAGGTTGGATTCAACATGTAAGCTGCTCAGTTTTATTTTTTATATACATAGTTTCTTAAAGAATAAGAGTCAAAGAAACTATTATGAATCTGTGAGCTGAAATTTACACTTTGTGGAGGTAGGAGGAAACATCCATCAGTTTGGGAGCGTCAGACAAATCAGGCAATTTATGAAGAACACCATGTTGTAATGTTTCAAAGACAATTTAAAGTGTGTTGAAATAATTGTAAATGAAATTGTTTTATGTTGTCATTTTTTTATCTTTAAAGTATAACTTTGTAAAGGGTAAATATCATCATATAGGATAAAACCTCAAAATCTTAAATAATTAAAGAGAGCTTAATTACAAAAAGACTACACAAAATGCACTTTTCTGATGCATATCTAAAGCAGAGATCACTGTTATAAACAGAAAAAATATATATTTTCTTGCTAATATGTTTCTGGATTACATTTCAGTCTTAAAGGAAACTTTAAACTGAGCAATAAAAAGACAATGCTGTTTATACCATGGGTGCAACAGATAGCCCTATTGCAGTCAACAATCATATCATCACATTGACAACAGTCATCATAGTGACAGTGGGTGAGTTTTGTGAGCATAAATTTCTCAAGTTAGAAATTTTTAGACTCTTTTTTATGTTTTTTAAGAGCATAAAAGTGTTGCTGAGTTCTACGGATGGTCTCCTTCAATCTTTACAAAAACAGTAGCATGTTAAGATTTTGCATCTACTCTTCTAAATCTTTTCATTGGTATAATTGAAATGAGATATTTCCACCATTTTTGACTTCAATGTATGAAGCTTTACATAACAAAATCAATGAAGTAGGCAACATTAATAAGTAAGTACACCTGTTTTTTCCTGAAAGGCTTTCAGCCATTAAACCTCACTCACTGAAATGACAGTACAGGAGGCATTTTTTAAGTTGTTGCTGTAACTTTCCTCTCCTGGTTGTTTACCAGAACCACCAGAGGTGATCTGCCTGCGAGACGATAAGCCAGACATTTGCACCAGACAGGTGTTGTTTTCTAACTCTGTGTGGGTGGTCGAATTTTGACGACGTCTCCTGAGACCTTGACGAAAGTGAATTGTAAACAGGCCGTAGGTGATGGGGTCCAAACATGCATTGAAGAGGCCAAATATGAACAGCATGTGAGTAAGTGAATGAGAGACCGTCTCCTCCATTTTTTCAGGAAACAACCAATACCACAAGCCAAGCAGGTAGTACGGCGTCCAGCAGATGATGAACGAAGTCACAATGACAATGCTCATCTTCAGAGTTCTCATCCGAGCTTTTGGGATGTTACTGTGAGAACGCCGAAGATGGATGTCTCTGGACAGAGCTAGAACAAATAAAAATATCATCTCTGTTCCAGACAATAATTTTGATCTGCAGAAGTGAGACTTGTGACTTACTGTTATTCTGAGCCATGCGGCTGGATATCTCCACCAAGATTCGCGTGTAGCAGAAAATCATGATGACCAAGGGCAGGAGAAAGAGGCACGTGAATGTAAACATGTTATAGAGAGTCTCCTGCCAGCGATGGATAAAACTACCATGGGTGGTGCACTGGGTGAAGTTCTCAGGCACTGTTATGGTCACATTGTGGAAAATAAACATCTGTTGGAAAAAAAAAAAGAGAACAGCTCTATTAACCTGATTTTAATGTCACAGTGGTTTGTTCTTTGTTCTGATGTGAATAGGTGTAGAGCAGTGATTTTCAGAGTGGTGGCTGAGGTTCTGTGAGGGGCCAGCAGAAGCCTTCCATCATGAAATTAATTATTGTGAAGCTCATAAAATTGTAAGAGGTGAAAAAGTTAATTCTAATAAATTTTGTACTGACATTTTTAATTTTCTCATACAGTATTTATAATAAAATATAACTAAATATAGCCATGCTCATCTTTCTAATTGGTTGATTGTCAAATCTATGAAGCTGCTTTGCTCCTCAAACAAACCATGAAATGGACAAATTTCTGTCAAGAACAAAGACCAAAGAAATTTTCCAGCAGCCTGACTGTGAAGGACTCTGCTGTAAACAAGACAGAAGTCAAGGCCAACCAAAATCAAAAGGTATGAGGCAATATTTATGCTAAACAAGCATCACTACTTTTATTCCAGTAGCGAATAAAAGTGAGAGAAAAACATTCTAATCTATTCAAAGCAATCCTTAAATTAAGCAAACAACATCTGCCTCTTTGTTATGCCATGTTTTATTAAAATATCCAATAACACTCCATCAAATATCAGAAAGAAATGAAGAGAGCTTTTTTTAATTTTATTCCGAGCTGTTATGTTGTCCCCCTCGTGCGATGATGCCCAGGGCAGAGAGCCATAATATCACCTCTGGGAGTTCAGGAATTCAATCCGAGTTATGAGCTTTCCCCGTCTGCATGTTTGCCAGGATAAAATAAAACCCCAGGCGGTGACGAGGTGCGGACTGACCTCAGCGGGATCTTCACCGCGAGATATCTGTCGATCGCGATGGCCAGCAGGCTGAAGATGGAGCTCTGAGTGAGTACCAGCACAAAACAGGCGACGGTGTGGAGCAGAAAAGCCTGGAAATCAGCCGGGAATGGGTTTTGGTCTCTGAGCCCTCGGGCGGCACAGCATTGGAAACGGATTAGCGGAAAACACAGGATGAGCTCAGGAACCGTGCTCAGCGACGCTCCGAGTGAAATCACTGCTGCGTCCTAAAGTTAAATCTCTACCAGGACTCAAGAGCTCCCTGATGTTGCAACTTTCACGGAAAATCACAGCGTAGGATCAAGTTAGACCAACGTGGTCCATTTATTTTATCACACCTTTATAGTAATCGGTGACTTAAAGCTAAAAAAAAAACCAGAATAAATAAGAAAAACCTGCTGCACTAATACCGATTTCTGATTTTTCTTTGTGTCTTCAATTCAGTTTGACTCTCTGTTTAAGTAACATTCAAATTTTATAGAATATGATTGAAATAATCCATCCATCCATCCAGTTCTTAAGGCCTAGTATGGGGTCAGGAAGTGTGCTGGTACCTATCTCCAGCGGTCAACAAGTCAGAGGCTGGGTCACCCTGGACAGGTCACCAGTCCCTTGCAGGGAAACAGAGACACACTCATTAAGGAGAATTTAGAGAACCCACTTAACAGTCATACTTTTGGACTCTGTGGGAGGAAGCCGGAGTACCCGGAGAGAACCCACCATGCACAGGGAGATGATGCAAACTCCATGCAGAAAGACCCCGGGCCAAGAATTGAACCCAGTACCATCAAACTGCAAGGCAACAGTGGTACGAACTATGCATCCCTTTTTAAGTAACATTTAAAGTGATCAAATATGACTGGAAATAATTGTTAAGGTAATTATTGGAGGCTTTTTGGGGTTGGGACCGACGGAGGCACGGAGAGAGGACTCGATACCAGGACCAACAGAGGAACAGAGAGGCGGAGGCACAGGGGGGCGTCATGGAGCCGAGATCGACAGCCGAGATTGACATCTTCAAGAGGCATTTCATTTGATAAAATACCTCTTGAAGATGTTGGCACCAGAAGAAAGTTTTGAGAAAAAACTGCCCCTCTTCTTCTGGTGCTTTTCAATCTGGGTTAAAAGAGACGACACAATCGTGTCGTCGACAATCTCGTGCTCCATGAAGCCCAGAGCCCATCTGGCAGAACATCCAAAGGTTTCTCTGAGGTCCCTGAAAACCTTTTTCACAAGCCCAGGGACCCAGTCCACCTGGATTTCCACCGGATGGCTCTCGATGTCAGCGCAGATATGATGAACTATGCGCTCCTGTGCCTCCATCAGGGAATCAAGACACCTCCGTGTCTTTGACTCCCTGATGCCCAGACACAGCAACGACTTCACAAAAAGTCGCACTGTGTCCTGTCTCTGTTCCTCTAGGGACGCCCTCAGTCCTTCGGCACGTCTCCTTGCTGTCATCAGTTCATGGACTAAACTGATGACAGCTCGCGCCAAAGAACTGAGACCTAAGCCCGGCCTCAGAATCGACAAGGGGTCTTCATCATCCATTGGAGACATAGATGTTACGTGCTTCAGGAAGAGGACGTCAAGCACCTGAGCACAGTCTCCCTGGACGACTTCGTCGACTCCCATCGCCCGGGCAAAGGCCTGAGAGACCTGATCTCCGAACATGACTTTTATATATCGCCATACTCGTAGTTCAGGTTCTCAGAAACGTCCCTGACAAAACCGGAGAAAACATTCATTAAATAACTTAAAAGGTATCTCGTCCTCTTCGATACCTTCATCCAGGACCAGAAATTGTCGATCCAGCCAGTCTTCTTCATGTGTTTGATTGATGTATTCACTGATAGCAGATATGGCGTGTCCATCCACTAACAATTGCACGTCTCTCCTCAATAACTCCATGTTTCTTCTGAACTGAACTTGATGCCTACTCTTCTTGAAATACCGTGGAACCTGGCAGAATGTTACCAAGCGGAGTTATTTATACCCCGTGTTACACAACAAAGCAATATGTGACATCACAGCCTGTTCATGTTATTGTGATGTCACAGACAACTTTCCTTTAAATTCTTAATGACGTTTTATACTTATTTGTCTGTAACTTAATCTAAATTCTTACTCAGATATAAAAATAAAACAAACTCAAAACTTAAATGGGTTCTCTGCTGGTCAATAAACACATTCAGCTGAACCTGGATTTTAATTTCGCAATCAGAGATGCAAGATGATCCCTGTTTACGCATAAAAGCAGGTTTCCTGTACGTTTCATCTGGATTTTCTCAACTAGATCTAAAAGTACGCTGGTTTTTATGCATCCAACTTATCTATCAATGTTGATCGAGGCGAAAATTGACAAATTTCTATTACTGGCAACGACAATAATTGATGCTCCATTAAACGTTTGGCATTTAACTCACTCACAGAATATGTATCAAATTGCTGAAATGTAAATCCTAAATGCTTCCAAAGTGAAACTTTTTTCTACCATCACAAAAACGTGATGTAAAATAAGTTGGCGAAAAAAATCGACGATCATTCCTCAGATGTCAAACTGTTGGATTTCTGTTGCTTTATCATCAAATGTCAGTCAAGTATGTAAGGAAGTAAGATGACTTTGTGCATCCTGGCACCTGATGAATTTCAAAGGACTGGCTGGATAAACAGAGTGTAATAATGACCTAAACACTTATCTGATCATTAAACTCAAAATCCTTTTATAAACACATCACATCTTTGTGCTTGTAAAATATTGGACTCCAGTTACGAATCAAAGTTAAAAATGATCAGTCTGATTGATTGGTGCATCTCTAGTTTTCAATATTACTCCCAGTGATAGATATATGTTCTTAGTCATGTTTTATCACACTTTATTTCCTTTAAACATGTTAGTACTACACATGAAACCCGTTATTTTATAAACTATGTAAAATGTAAAAACTCTTTAAATACTTTAAAGTAAATCGCAATTGTTCTGCATTACAAAGCATGAAAAAATTCCATTTGCCTCTGTAACAGTTCATAGGATATTATTAGTCATCTTATTAGCGGTGCCCCAGTCTGATTCATATTTTAACCGCTCATGAATACAAATCAAACCCTTTCTGAAAAAATAAAACCACGGTTTTATAAAACTGGAATTATTTTTAAGGCTCTCTGCTCGGTGTAAAGTAAAATCATTTTTAGAAGAGTTTGAAATGATAATCTATCTATAAGATGATTTTTTTTTTCTTTTACATATTTGTGGCATTGTATGTGGGCTTACAAATGGGGATTCCTGAAAAGAAGCTAATACTGATGAGCCAATCACAGTCCACCTCTAATTGGCTCATTGTCCCCATGGTGTCTGCTTCGCAGGAAGAGCATCTTCAGGGCAAGCTGTGCCCAGAGATTCAAACACAGAGTCAGCATTCTGTGTTCAGACTTCCTGAACCATGTTGGAGTGGCACATTGACCAAAACAAAATCAAACTTTTATTTTTTATTTTTTTTCTGTACTACTTAATTTTATTTTTGTGTTTTGTCTGTGTGATTGTTGTGAAGCATTTGGTCAGATGAGGCTTTTGTAAATGTACTATTTCAATAAACATTGACTTGACTATGTCTTTCAGTAACTTTTTGCAGCGCATTTAATTTGCATCCAACTCAGCACTAAACCCAAAAAGGGAAACCACCAAGATAACCAAAAGACCCGCTTTGTAACAACAAAGCAAAATTGGTATTAAACAAAGCAAAAAAACTTTATCTTTTGACCAAAGATAAAATTTACATTTCTGATCCTTAAATCCAAATATCACATTCAATCTTATTTTCCACCTTCTACAACTTTTTCCTTTTCTAATCGGTTTTAGGCCATTTTTAATGAAGAGACATGAAATCACTCAAATTGAGGGCATGTATCACAGTGGCCTTTAGAGAAAGTGCAAGCTGTGGGGTGGAAACATGAGCTGAATTTAAACACTTGGCTGCCTCTCAGAAATAAGAAGAAGTTTATATCATGACATTTGATACAGGTTTTGTAGGTGCTCATGGTAATGGAAAATGATAAACAAAAGTATCTGTCTGGAAATGAATTAACCCATGATGTATCAGAAAGAGAAGATAGATTTGGTCTTCTTTTATATGCTAAAGTATTTTTTTTTTGTAAGCCTAGAAATGTCACAGTTTTCTTCTTTATTTTTTAAGTCAAGATTTCCACTTACCTTTCAGTGGGTTGACTGCTCTGGTCACTGAAAATGGAAAGTTTTTTTTCAGGCTTTACATAAATCACAAAATTACATTAATGTACAATTATTTTGGCAAGATTTCCCTAAATGCATCCATTACAAGCAGTTTAATGGAGCAAACAGCATCCGTTCAGGATGACATTGCTCACTGAAGCCCATTTAGGAGCAGACCTGTCTTTCTTTCCTTTTTCAGAATAGAAAGGACATACAGGAGTGTGCTGTGGTGGCGTAGGGGTTAGCACAACACACGTTTGGAGGCCTTGAGTCCTCGACGTGGCCGTTGCAGGTATTTGCTGCATGTCTTCCCCCCTCTCTTCACCCCTCAGCCTACTTTCATATAAAGGACACTAGAGTCCACAAAAGACCCCCTACAGGGGGGAAGAAAGGACATACAAACTAAGGTTTAGTCACATTTAAAGAATAATTGAACTGCCAATTTGCCCTTAAGGTTTCAAGTATCTAAATGGCATTGATGTTTTTATTTGAATGCAATACTGGGAGAAGACCCACTCTTGACCAGTTTCAAAGCAATTTGATTCACACTGGGAGACATTATACATCTTGAAAGTAAAACAAAATAAAAATAATTCAAATTAATCTTAGCAATACAGACCACAGAAAAATACACAAAAACATTGAAGAGGTGAAACAAGACCAAAACAAGTGACTTATTCTATTTTAGATCTATGCTATACATAAATGCTTTGGCCATTTAAGCTTCCTGTGAGTAACATGGAGTTTTGTACCCTTTCATTTCACAACCCCAAAGGAACCACAGTGGATAAGATGGAAAATAACCAAAATCAACCTTTTTCTTTCTTTATGACATGACCAATGTAGATTTAAATTTTCCATTTTGATGCTGAATGTATGCTTCTCGTGAAAATTAGATTGGCGGTGAAGTGAAAAAGAGTAGTCAGGTTTATTTCAGCTGGTTTTGAAATCCTGCATGCAATGCTAGTGTCCATTTGGTCACACTTCATTGCTAACCTATATGTTTTGTACGCATTAGTCACACTTAACAGTGTCTGCAATTACAGGAAAAATATATATTTTCTTGTCGCAATGAACAACATACTACAACTTTCAATTTATAGAAAATGTAATTAAGTAGAAAGATTTGCTTCATTTTGGGAGTCCCTATGTAACAAACTAACACCATGTGCAAATTACACTTAGTGGCCGTGACCTTTCCATTGATGCCATGGTAAATACAAATTGATACAGTGACCTTCCACAGCAGAGATACGGAGAAATGACCAGAATCCAGCATTCACTGCATGATTCCTCTGTGAGATGAGAGTCTTGGAACTCAGAGGCTGCAGGATTAAAGTCAAGCAGCTTTCACAAGATGATTTCCTTTTTGATCTTTTAAAATGTAGTCAATAAACAAAGAAAACAAACAATAAACAGAATGGGCTTTGTGAAATAGGGTTCATGTTTCAAAGAACTTATTGGAGAAGAAAGTTAGATAAAAAGTTGTTTCAAGGTTTTACTTATTTATTTATTTTTATCAAAACACATGCATTTCAAAATTTTATCCATCTCCTTTCAGCAGCTTTTTGTTACGTTGGTTCAAATGATGAGATTTTAATAAAAGGTCTGCACTAGGTCTGCTTTCCACCTACTGCACCATATGAAACACTTCTAATTTACAGGTATTGGCAGAGATTTTGTTTAGCTGTCAGGCTCTAGGTGTGTTTTGAGACTTGATTAGTGACTTCCTCCCTGATGTTTGGGAACCTGCAGAGATTCTGCAGAGCTCAGGGATGGACACGCTGCACCTGATCAAAGATCGGATTTAATTTAAATGAAGAGCTGCCTCATTTATGCTCAGTGTCTCAGACTAATTTAATCACTCTGTAATTGGTATATTTTCAGAACCTTCAACCTTTTTTAAACCTTGTTTTTGTGACTTGAACAAAATAAGTTACATGTCTTGAAAGAAGATATTTTTAAAGTTGTTTTGATCACAGGGGCATCAATAAACCAATAAACAGTTGGTTTATTGAAACCAGCTGTCTCAATAAAATTGTATTTTAATTATTCAATGAAAATGGTTATTTATGTGTATTACATGCAATAATTATGTAAATATGTCTTTCCAGAACTTATTTCAGTTCTGGTATTGAAACAACAAAAGACCAGTAAAAATTTAGTTTTTGACAGGTATGTGATCACTGAAACTCTTTTCACAAAGTGTAACCCGCAACAGGTCATTCCCAAAGACGAAGACTCAGAGTGCAGCATGCAAACATATACCACACATAGAAAGACGAGTGGAAGGAAAAAAGTATGGTACAAATAGTTGCACAAGAAAGAGGGATAGATGCAACGTTGACTGGATTGTGAAACAAAGCACATTTATGAGCTTGGGGAGGATTCATAAGGCACGACCTGCAGATGAAATCAGTACTTTAAGTCATCTGTGTATCTTAAACATCTCAGCATTGCCACAATGCCAAGTCTCAGATGCAGCAAATGAAGCAAAGAGAAACTCGACAAAGTACTAAGTGAATATTGTGTCTTTTTCTGTCAGTTTTTCTTTCAATTCAATTTTCCATTAATACGTTTGGACACAGCACCACAAACAGCCTGCATCTTTAGCAATGATCTACTTGTAAATCTGCTGGATAACAAGTCAGCTGTTCTCCATAGCTATGCCAACACAAGGCCACAACATTTTTGCATTTAAAAACTTATTTACTCTTATTATTCAGGAATTACTGAAATTAATTAACTTTTCAATGACTGGCTGAGATCCACTTGTATTTTTATACAACTGTGCTTTTACAGTGGTGTAGAGTAATAAAAGTTTGATGTCAATCTTTCCCCTGATGTCAGGGTGACATACATTCCCTCTTACCTGCGGGAGAGAGAGGATGAAGCTCATGGTCCAGGCCACGGTCAACATGATTTTGCTTTTCCTTTTGGCCTCGCTGATTCCTAGAGGATTGAGGATGGCAGACTGCCTGTCCAGACTGATCACCACGGTCACAAAGGCGCAGGAGTACATTGCCACAAGCTTCATGAACATAAGCAGCCTGCAGGCGGCGTCCCCCGCCTGCCACTGAACCGTGATGTTCCACACCGCGTCCACGGGCATCACGATGAAAGTCACCAGCAGGTCCGCCACCGTCAGGTTCATTATAAGGATCCTGACGTGAGACTTGCGCTTTCCGCCTTTGCCGGCTGCCCACAGCACAATCAGGTTGCACACGGCAGACACAGCGCACAGAGTGAAGGTGATGATCACTCGGACTTTAGCTGCGGTTGAAAAAGTGGGGAGTTGGAGCGCGTTTCCATCTGCGCTCTTATTGCAGTCCAAGGTGGTTCCCTGACAGCTGCCGTTCACCGTCTGATCCTTCAGCTGGTGGAACATAATGAACTCCCGGGGTTTGACGGGACAGATGAAAGGGACACCTAGACTTTATCTTTGCCCAACATCTTCAACTGAGTCTCCAATTGAGAAAAAAACGAGAGAGAAAAAAGACTCTTGTTAATTGTTCTCCTTTTCCTCTTGACGCGACATGTGCCACAGGAGAAAGAAAAGATCTGTAGGTTCTCACACCACTGCAGGAGGCAATTAGAAATTGGCTGCAGAATGCTGTTAACGACGTGCAAAGTCAATCTGACATCTGTATAAAAATGCATCACTGAAGTGCGCATAAAAGGTTTTACAAAATACACAACATAGCAGAAGCTAGTAACAAATAGGATAATAACTGAACTTCTAATGTAGCTCATCTGAAATCTCGTGCTGCTAATTTTAGGTTCGTATGAACAGACAAAATGGAAACAAATTATGGGCTGACTGACTGACTTTTTTTTTTTTTGTTATTTTTTTTTTCCCGAGACCAAGTATGCGTCTTACCTGGATGCGCAGGAGCCGGTGAGCGCTCGTACAGTGATCTCACAGAGCGCGTTTCCACTGCAGTCTCTGCAGCTGTTGCTTCAGTCCGGTTCATTCAGCCGCTGTGACGCGCAGAACTGCTGCTGGGGTCGACCGGTTTGATCCATCGACGAACTCAAGAGAATCATTTTCACTGGAAAAGACAACACAATTTCATATCATTTCACAATATACATGTAGCCTATAGATTCAGATTCAATTAGATTGGAATTTTGCCTTATGCTCAATGGAAATGATTATTATTTTTATTGCAATATAAAGCAGCGTGGATTTGTGCTTTTGGTTTGGGTGATTGTGTGGAACTCCACTTATGTGTCTGTTTTATTTCTTTTGATCCCATCAAAATTATAATGTGTAGCACGTTGCCTCCAAAGAGATGGTTAATATGAAATATTTCCCTTTGAGGTTTAACTAAAATCCAAGGATTTTTCAGGCTTTGACATTCATGTTTCTTGGACTTTCTATGAGCAGACCTAACAATCCTCTGAGAATCTCACCACAAGCATTAGTGAAAGACACATGAATATTTTTAAAATACAGTAAAATTCTGGCAACCAAAACTGACAATACTTAGCAGTAACTTTAGCAGTTCAGAAGTGTAAACTTTTCTATGCAACTTAAGATAAAAACAACACATATAACGTAAAGAACGGTCTACGTGAGTGAAAGACATGGCAGAACTGTGTGATATATTGATATTTTATTGCAAAACATAAATAAAATAAAATAAAATAAAAAGTTTATGGTAAATTACTGGTAGCTGTTGTTACCAGAATTGTGCCATAAAAATTACAATACAACACACAAGGAAGTGTAATTTGTCAGCATTTCAATATGGAAAGTTATAGAGAAAATAAGTCCAAATTAAACAAAAATATAGTTTACAAGCAATCCACTTAAAGAAACAATTTCTATTGAAAAATTCTGTTAAGAAAAGAAATGATTCTGTTACCTGTCCAGTTTCCTCATAATACTTTGTCAATCAGGTGTTTCCTCTCTCCTGGAAAACAGAAACAAAGCAAAAGTTAGAATGATGCACTATATGAACATCATACAAACTCAACACTTGCTTAAATGTTTGTTTCACCTTTGTTGTCTTGCGCATGGAGACTACTTCAACCAGGTGGTGTGATCATTTCTGACTGAAAATTCAGAAGTTCTTAAACCTTTGTTTGTTGTCAGTAGGTGTGATCCTCTCTGCAATCAGACAAAAAAAAAAACATCAGATGAAGACCTGTCATTTCAGAGAATTGTCAGACTTATGCATGTTAAGACTTCCATGATAAGCTTATGTTGAGAAAATTCAACAGAGACAACTTGTTTAAAGCAAATTAAAATGGGGGGAAAAGCAGAGAAGTGCACATAATCAGTTGCATGATGTACAAAAGGATTTCCAACTTGCTCAAAGGAAAGCATTCTATTCTTTGTGAAAATTACTTTTGCAGTCTGGTTTATGGTTTTACATTGTAGATGTAAATATCAGCATAATTAACTAATTAATAGCATCATTAGTATTCTACATTTTATGACTGTCAAAATTACTTGAAATATATGTTGATTGAGTTATTGTAATTTCATGTATTTTCTGCTGTAATAAAATGTTTCGGATATTATGGTCAGTAACTGTTGGTATTTCTCAATTTTACCCGTAATTTTACAGAGTTTTTTAGCGCAATCACATAAATTATGAAAGGTTTTTTGGTAATATGAATACAAATTATTCGGAAATTAAAGTCCATATAAGCCAATAGTGATAAAGGCTCACACTTATCAAAACAGCAAAGCATAATAGTTGCATTGACTGAAGCTTCGAAAAAGAACCGGACTGAATTATGTTTTATCAGCTGCAATGCAGATTTACAGGCAATCTCTTTGCAGCCACAATAAAGACAATATATTCTACACACTCAATTGGAAGAACATCAAAAGTTCATTTTTTGTAGCTTACCTGTCTTTTACTAAAATAACTGCAGAGTTGTTGTGTTTGCATGTAATATCTCTGTGGGTTTCCTTTGATGTTTACAAGCACTGCACCTTACATTCATTTATTTTTCCATCCATTGTCTGAAACAAATTATTCCTCTTTTAAATTAAGTTAATTCATTTTTTTAAACCATTTGTTACTACTGGCAGTCATGGGTGGCTGTAGCCCCTAAACAAGTCTCTGTAACCGTAGGAGCAATTTTTTTCTGAATAATAAATCAAAAGTCAGAGTGATGAAATCATTTGCTGTTTTGTTGATGTTGACCAGCTAGCTGAGTGTAGTGGCAAGGGGAAGAATAAAACAGATATTGCTATTTGGAAAAAATGAAACAACCTTCTTCAACGATGTTCCTACCATCTGTTTCTGTTTCTCAAAGAACATACTTGTGGGGGGTCCATGATTATAAAAGACATCTGAAGGTGCCCTCGTTGCTACTGATTTAAAGCCATTTAACATCGAATTATAGAGGGAGCTTTATTGAGCCGAACAGCAGGGGATGGAGACTGAACAAGGAGATGGAATTAAAGGGATCAAAAATCAAAAATGGATCTCAAAGGCAACAAAATTAAAACTTCACAGGAACCAGGTTGAGGTAATGTTATTTTTATTTGTTTTACTTTTTTGGGCTCTCTTGTTGTTTTCCTGTTTGCATTCTCTTTATTTGCTTTAAACCTTCAATTTTCTGAGGGAGTCTTCCCAAGGGATCAATAACGTACAAGTCTAAGTCTAAGTCTTTCATTCACCCACCTAATTATCTACTAAAAATTTACTTGGTAAGCCACAGCAAAAGAATACACTAGATTGATACATAGTTTTGTCATGCATTGCTATATCACAATCACACGTTAATGAATCTTATTGGTATTATATGTGACAGATCACGAGAAAAAAGTGTTTGATGAACCTCAATAAAATTAGATTAACTTAATTGTATTTATAAATCACCTAAATAGTTAAATCCTCCTATGTGTGTAATTTTAACAGGGTAAAATCACACAGTTCAGTTTGTTGCATTTCATTGTGGCAATTCATGCAAAATTAACAGAGCCCTGCTATTTTTCACAATAATGCATAATTGTAAGTTCATTGTAAATTTTCTGCAACAATGATCAAAAGCAATAGGTTAAGTGACTGCTTAACCCATTGCAGGAGGCAGTATTTCTTACTTCTACTACACTCCTTACTGGATGTCAAGTTATTATTGTTGTGATATATGAAGGGAAAGTGTTGGAAAATAAGAGCTTCTTAAAGCGGTAGAGTCCAATTTCCAGGTGCAAATTTCAACACCAAGCTTCTTCTAAGCTAATTTTGATATATGGAGTATTTTTATAACAACTGAAGGCAACATAGTTACTTGAATGTGTTACAAACTTGACTTGTCTTAAAATGGCACCAAGTGCCTGGAAAAAATACAGTATGCCCACTTTAATTCATCATCTGAATATAGCAATGATTTGGCACAACTGCAGATCCACTTGTCTGATTACCTTAATAGATTATCTGGGCCCAGGAAGATTAGAACTCAGATAACCAACAAAAATTTGTAACCTGACATGGGGTGCCATAATGGGTTCCTCAGACTTCCTCTGTGTCTATATTTGACAGGTACACTTTACCACTATGGCTAAATATTGTGCATTTTCAACAAATTGAAATTGTCTAATGATAACAATTCCCCAAAAGCCTTGAAAGCACCACATTGTTCTCTCTTTTCATTATGATGTTGGTTGACATTCGCTTTGTCAAAAACACTGATCTGCCCTTTGGATTAATTTTTCAAAGACCTCTTGCTTTTGTTGTCACTTTCATGTTTTGTCATTAAAAAGTTTATTAGCTTCTCCGCCTGCCATCTTCTAAAGTCTTATCTGCATTCTGTCCACCTGCATCATTATGCATGACAGCTAATTTAATGGCATGTTGGTTTGTACAAGAAATTTATGAATTAACTTGTTCATTTATAAACTAACTGCAGAAATCCTGTGGAAGCCAATATCCAGTTTCCTGATGAGCAACAGAGATTGATGATCCTGCATTAAGTTTAGTTTTAAATTATTACAAGTGAAGCATTATGTAAGACTTACCTTAGTGTATTTGCTGTCTTGTGGAAGGTTGTCTTTTGAAAGTTGACACATCCAAAATGAATCACAAATCTTTTCAATCAAATGTTGTTCAGGAGGACAAAGTTAAGAAGAATTTTTTCTCCCAGAAACTGCAACATCACTTTGAGCTATTTCTTTTTTCAGCTCAGGTACAGTTAGCTTCTGAATCCTTTTCTGTTTCAATGTCACTATGCTGCAGACTTTATTGTTCAGCTGGGGGTGAGCTAGTGTATTTCATTATCATTTTAATATTAATGAGAACTAATATATTCATATGCTATGTTATATTGCAATATTAACTTTGCAATATTCCAAAATGACTTATCTGGTGCTTGTGTAAAAAATGTCTTTAGCTCTGCCTGACATTATATATTTGTATAGTGTCTCTGTGTGGATGACATGTCTGACTGTAGCCTTTCATAGACCTCTGTGGGTTCTTTTTCCAAGTCTCCATGAGGAGATAATGTATGCAGTAGGTACTTCGACTTGCCACAGTGGAAAAATAACTAATGGAATAAAGGCTTAGGTCTAGAATGAGTCCCAGGAAAACCATTAAAGGAGGCTAATAAGGAAAGCAGCCTGCAGAATCATTCAGCAGCATAGCTCAACTTGAAAAAATGTTTGTTTGTTTTGGGAGTACAATAGAAACATGGCATACATTTGGTCACCTGCAATGACTTCAGTATGTTGCCACTGTTCCAGAGAAAAATGCCAGATTATGTGGGCTTCTAGACTGAAGTAAGCAAGCAAGTTCAACTTTATTAATATAGTATCTTTTCAACATATAGATCACAATATGCTATAATCACATAATAATCAAAAAAATTAAACATGAGTACAATAGCTACTTAAAAGTAATTTTGAAAAGCTCAGCATCGTCCACCTGGGGCTACTGCTAACAATCTTCTGTCACCTTTAGTTTTCAGCCTTGTGTGTGATAAAACCAACTGGTTATGGTCACATAAGCTTAGGGACCTTAAAGACATACAAATGTAAAAGTTTTGAGATGAGTGTCTCTGCTTAA